TCATTTGCTGTTTTGGAGACAAGATCCCAGAGCGAGTGTTATCAAGTAGGGAGGTTCCAGTTGGTGGAAACTTTGGTTCCTTCCCCTAGGAATTATCCTGTGAGGTTCTCATACATCTAAGCATTTACCTGAAACCACTGGGCAAAATTCTCTGGAGACAGGTAGTGCTGTGTCACTGGTATGTAGATGCCCTTCAGCTCCATTTCTCCTTTTCACCAGATCCAGACTGGTCAGGGACCTTCCATTAACGTGCGCCTAAAACCTGTAAGTGGTGGGCTACAGAAGGGTGAACAAGCTGAAGCTCTGACCCAATCAGACAAGAAAGGGGCTCAGTCAGTTGGCTGTCTGGGAGTGGGGTGAAGATTCTGATGCTCTCCAAGAATGGGTTTGCTGACATTCCTCAACATTCCTTCATGGCGTGTTTCTCTCGTGTCATTATTGGAATAGCTGCGTGGATATCTTCCTTGCGCTTCTTTCGTGTTAATTATCTTGTGCCTGGGATAATCTGATTTGTCATGATGGCGTGAGAGAGAATGTCAGTCTGGCTGGCACTGCTCTGTTCTTCTTCCACTGCTCATAAAATCGCCAAAAAGGTGGGCCTCCATCTTTCCACTGTACCCTGGATTGACAAGCAAGAGTTCAGTTTCAAACTTTTATCGAAGAGCATAAGACCAAATCAGCCTTGTGGAAACAGAAGGCTGGACTGTGGCCAAGCTAGATGCCTCCAGGATGTTCACAAGCAGGGCATAAGAAGTAAACTTTTTTGGTTGGTCCCTAGCATCTGATATTCAGGGTAGACTGCCCTTGTAAACAGAGGTTTTGTATAGTTATTGGACCTACTCATTGCCGTTCCTCCTCCAGGAATATGCTTAGTCGTTTTCAATTGCCATCTAAAAAAATGGCCACCCCTGCATCTTATGGAGGTGAGTAGGTGTGCACTGGGTGAAGAAGAACCTAGTTTGGTCTGCCCTGAGCCTTCTGAGAATTTTACACATGTACAAATCTATTGATTTTCTATCACGTCCCTTCTTGGTATTTTTTCCCCTAAACTAAAAAGACTCAGATGTTCCCTCCTCCGCACCACCACTTTTTAAAACCCTGTGAAACAATTTAATAAAAAATGCATTATTGATTACATTGAAACTTTGGAGAGGAGAGCATGGTGACCCCCCCGCCTCTAGATTCCGGGTGCATTGGTGTGTTACAGCCACCGATAGTTTCCCTGAGTTAATCTTTTTCACACATTCCACACCACGCACTCCTTGTTTTGTTTTGTTTCTCTCTTTCTCTCTGAATAAAATAAAAACTACCCCGATGAATCGCAGCTCCTCTCCCTCTGTTGTCTTCTGTTGTGAATGCCACCCTTTCCAATTAAGGAGTGGAGAAAGAAAGCATTTGCCCAATTAGTGTACTAATTAATTAAGGAAAAAAATATTTTCCAAAGCTGGCTGCTGCTTTAAACTGTAGTTTGGGGACAAGTTGTGAACAAAGGAAGCTGGTTCAGAAGAAAGTTTGCAGGAGGACTCTCCCTCCCCATCCCAGAGCTGGAGATGCAGCAGAGGAATTAACCGCAAACAGCCAGATGGGAGTTCTCCTGCCAGCTGCTGTTAGACTTTTTCCTTTTTCCTGTGGTTAAAGTGTTTCTCAACAGAGTGGGAGGTCCAGGGTCCAGTTTGGTGTAGTGGTTATGAGTGGCGGAATCTAATCTGGAGAACCGGGTTTGATTCCTCATTCCTCCACAGGCAGCCAGCTGGGTGACCTTGGGTCAGTCCCCTCACAGCTCCACCTACCTCACAGGCAGGGCCGGCTCGCCCACTAGGCGAACTAGGTGCTTGCCTAGGGCGCGCCGGCCCTCAGGGGCGCCAAATTGCGCCCCACCCACCCCTGCCAAAAGCCCCACCCCCGCCCCTCCTCCTCCAAGCAGGGTCCCAGAAATAGCACTTGGGGTGAGGATGCATTTGCCTCAAGGGGTTTTGCCATGTGACATGCTTGTTAATCTGGAACATGGATTTGCTTGTCCCAGAGAAGGGGAAATAATTCAGAGCAGGTGGGAAAGAGCAAAATGTGAAAAGGGAAGGCAGAAAGTTTTTAAACATGTTCCTAAGCTAATTGATCAGCAAGGCTGTTTGGTATGGGGGGCGGGGTTAAGGCATGCCGGCTCATTTCTGAAGCGAGTTTGGATTGTGGTCTATCCTGTCCTAGGAAGTGAAAGCAGGGCCGTCTCTCTAAAAGGGGCTGGTAGCTTTTGTTCAGCAAATTCATTGGGCGTTGTATTGATCATCCTTCACATGGTGTTTTCTGCTCTGGCCTGTGTGCACTTCACACCAAGAACAATTAACAACACCAAAGGAATTAAAATCCTGAAATCTGTATACGTGAAGCAAATTAGTATGGTGTCCCTTATGGTTCATAGCTGCTTTTGTGCAGTGGCTAATGCAGGGGAAATGGCACCCAAGGAAAGAGTTAAATAGCTCCAATTTTATCCTTACAGCAACCGTGGAGTGCCTAATGTCACCAGCAGTAGGGTTGCCAGGTCTGGGTTGTGAAATTCCTGGAGATTTGGGGGATGGAGCCTGGGGAGGGCAGGGTTTGGAGAGGGGAGATACCTCAGTGGGGTATAATGCCATAGAGTCTACCTTCCAAAGTAGCCATTTCCTCCAGGGGAACTGATCTCTTTTACCTGGAGAACAGTTGTAATTCCGGGAGATCTCCGGCCACCATCTGGAGACCGGCAAACCTGCGCACCAAAGCTTCATAGCTGAGGGAGGACTCAAACCCATAATTTCGAACTCTTCTGCACAGTTTATTCTGTGCTTATTTGTCATGGGACCATTGAAGAGTGATGTGGGACCCTGGAGATTTGCTTCCAATCACCAGAAGTCTTATTTATTTACATATTTAAGGTATTTTATTTACATTTACTTATTTATTTACATATTTGTGCCTTGCTTTAAGGGCTGCCAGGGGGTACCTAGGGGCACAATATTGAAGGGGCCCTGGTAACCCTGGCGGCCCATGGAGCCACGCCAGTCAAACAGTTCGTTTTCATATGATGTTTGGAGTGGGTCTAGATCAAGGGTCCCCAATTTTTTTGAGCCTGTGGGCAATGCTCCCTCTAAGCTGTGGAATCTTGTGAGCAAAAATTCCATTTTGTGAGCTACTGGCATTAAAGTGGTGAGCGAGCAGTTGGCTACAGCATAAATTAGTTTGCTCTGGAGCTATCCTTCCTGAGCTAAGATGAAAATGTGTGAGCCAGAGGCTAAAAAACTGTGAACTAGCTCACACTAACTCAGCTTAGAGGGAACACTGCCTGTGGGCAGCACCTTTGGGATTCTGACACAGCATGATGGGCGCAGCCACAAAATGGCTGCAGGTTTCCTTCAGTCACACAGTGAAAATCCTTGTGCTGTAGTGGCAGCTGCTGTCAAAATATTTTTTAAAATTTACACAGCTAATGAAATCTCCAGTGGTCCATTAGAAGCCTTATAGGCAAAAGCCCCCCTGGCCTTGTCCACTTTCTAAAAATATTTGGTGGGCACCAGCAAAGGTGTCAGGGGGTACCATGGTACCTATTGGAACTGTGTTGGTGACCCCTGGTTTGGGTTGCGTGTTTGGGGGCAGAGGGAATGGTAGATTTTAGTGGCTTCACTTTTCCATGCAAGGCCCAAGGTGACTAACCAATCAGGAAAAAAAATCCATAGAATTAAACCAACTGATAAAACAAATCACATAAAAAGCCCCATAACTAAATAAAACATTCAAAAAGCAGCAGTAACAGAGAAGAATCAGAGCAGAAGGAAACCATCCCAACAAACCAGTAAAAAATACAACTAACCTCAGTGTCAGTAAAGAAGAAGAAGAGATTAGATTTATTCCCCGCCCTTCACTCCGAGTCTCAGAGCGGCTTACAAACTCCTTTCCGTTCCCCTCCCCACAACAGACACCCTGTGAAGTAGGTGGGGCTGAGAGAACTCTGAGAGAAACTGCTCTTGAGAGAACCATGACTGACCCAAGATCACCCAGCAGCTGCATGTGGAGGAGTGGGGAATCAAACCCTGTTCTCCAGATTGGAGTCCACCGCTCTTAACCACTACGCCAAACTGGCTCCCGACAGCGGACGTCAATCTGTAGCACCCAAAATCTAGTGAGGCGGCTGGGCTTGCGTTTTTGTAGGCGACGTACTCACAGCATGGGGGCAACAATGAATGAAGAAGACACACCCCAGGTGCCACAGAGCAGGTTAAAGACCTCAGATCCCAGATAGGTTCATCTGGGCAGAGGTCGTTTTTCAGAGGTCCTGGTCTGAAGTCATTACCAGGGTTCCCTCTAAGCTGAGTTAGTGTGAGCTAGCTCACAGGTTTTTAGCCTCTGGCTCACACATTTTTGTCTTGGCTCAGGAAGGAGGACTCCAGAGCAGACTAATTCATGCAGCAGCCAAATCGCTCCCTCACGACTTTAATGCCAGGAGCTCACAGTGTAGAATTTTTGCTTACAAGACCATCCTTCTTGTGAGGAGGATATCTAACTCTCTCCTGGTTCACTCAAGCATGCTTGCGTTTACAGTTGCAACAGTACCGATGATCTTCTGTTGTAGTGTTGTTCAATTATCTACAGTCACCTGGGTCACTAAAAATTTTGCGCTGCAATAAACTTTCTGAGTTGCTTTACCATGTGCAAAAAACTGTTACTTTATGTGACCCCATTCAGAAGCTGTACTTATTCCGAGCTGTAAAGCTTTCATGTGGACACCCTGGATACCCAGAATCACAGGCAGAAATGCAGATTGAGTCCATAACCGTTTTCGCAGAAGTACGTCCCACTGTGGCCAATGAGGCTTATTTCCAAAGAAGTGATTGGAAGCCACTGAGGCATTTCTGTTTTTGGCACGATAGCTTTAAACTGGATTGTTTTTACATATCATTTGCCTGTGTGCCGAGTCAGTTGTGTAACGCTTGGTCTTTTTACATTCCCCCCCCCCACCCCATCCTCTCTCTCCCCAGTTTCCATTTGGTCGCCGTTTGCCCTGTGACATCTATTGGCACGGCGTGTCATTTCATGATAATGACATCTTCTCGGGCCAAGTCAACAAATTTCCAGGTAATTGATTTCATGTTGCTAATTAAACCAGTGATTTTACATGACGGGGAACTGGTGCATTTTTGCATCGTTTAATGGAAAGGAAAAGGAGATGTTCTCACTGGGCTTTGTGTGAGGGCTGATCTTGCCTGAGAGGCCAAATCTCAGTGGAGTAACTTTTTAAATATAATACAAAAAAAATTTGCTTGCATGTGAACGTATAAAGCTGCTGTACATACAGCGTGAACTCTGACCCACCTAGCTCAGTATTTACCGCTCTAAGCAGTATGGTCTTGGGCCCAGGAAGGTCTTTCCCAACACCTGCCACCTGCGCAAAGGTCCTTTAACGGGAGATGCTGGTGGGGATTGAGCCGTGTGTGCTTTTTCTGTGAGCAGCAGCCTAGTCCAGGATGGAGGACCATCAGATAACACAAGCTGGCATGCTGGACGAGACCAAAGGCTCATCCAGGCCAGCGTCCCCTTTCTCACAGTGGCCAGCCAGAATGCAAAGAACCTTCCGCTCTCCTTTGTCTCGAGAATCTGGTTTTCAGAGGTATCCTGCTTCTGATAGACCTCCATAAGTTTGTCCCTTTTAAAAGAACTCTTGCAGCCTCTTGCAGTAGTGAGTTCAACAGGTTAACTCTGCATGATGTGACAAAAGGTATTCTTCTGTATGCCCTGAGGCCGGCACCCACCATTTCCATTGGATGATTCTTGAGGTCTGATTTTGCAAGATAAAGAGAAAGGCTGCTCCCTTGTTAACTTCGTTCTGAACTTTATATTCTTCTAATCAGAGCCCCCTCCTTAATCTGCTTGCTTTCCCCCCTCTGTATTCTTAGAAAGATCTGTCCATGTTGTCCTGGCTCTAGATGTAAAAGAGGGTAGACCTTAGTAAATTCCCATGAATCAGAACTCCAGATTTTTTGAACAAAGCACAAATAATTTGTCTCATGCAACTGGCCAGACTAATGAATGTGTGAGTGTGTTTCCACATTATATCCTCTCTTCCAGCAAAGAACAAAGGACAGCCACAGTGCTGTTCCGATTTATTTATTTATTTATTTCTGGGAACGAGGTTTTTTTTTCTCTTTAATATAGAGGAGTTTATGCCAACTCTCCTCTGATATCCAGGATATTAAACTTTTTAAAGCTCCCTTATTTCCTCTTTAATCCTTGTCTGAATCCCACTAAGTACAAGCTAAGGCCGCCGTGTTGATTTATCTCCATTTTTCACTTCTCATTTATTGCACTCTAAGAAGAGCTATAAAACCGTGTTCTCCTGGAATGGAGTAGGCAGAAGGGCCTTCTCGTGAAAATGAAATCAAATTCTAGAGGTTTGTTTCGCCACTGGATGCGGAGCAGACCCACTCTGCCTCCACTCTGTCTGTCTGCTTGCTTGATTCAGTCCCAGGCTTCCTTGATACCTGTCATCATGGATCAGAATATGACTTCCTTCTCATCAGGCAGAGGGGCCAAAGAGGAAGGGGCGGAGCACTTGACACCGCAGAAAGAGGCGTTGAGACACCTCCCAGAGCTCCCTTTGAAGGGCAAGAGGTGCTCTAGGAGTCTCGGCCAGTCCCCTCACCCTGGAATACGGGCCTGCCTTCTGACAAGGGCCAAAGAGGAAGGGGCGGAGCACTTGTCACGGCAGAAGGAGGGCAAGAGGTGCTCTAGGAGTCTTGGCCAGTCCCCTTACCCTGGAATACGGGCCTGCCTTCTGACATGAACTTCGTCTCTTAACCCTCCTCCTTGGAGCTCACCTGCTGCACCTGAGATCTCTCCCCAAGTGAAGCCTCACAAAGCCCTGAAGCACCCCCAGCCCTGTTGGACTGCTTGCCAACACAATCAGGTGCTGCACCTGGAGACCTAGCAGCCTGCTTCTGGAGGGGTGGGGCTTGCAATGCCACCTCCTTGCAGGAGTCGTCAAGGCCTCAGTTCAACCTCAGCGTTTGCTGGAGCCACATCTTGGCTCTAATACATCTTGGCTGCAGTGATTTCACTCCTGGATCTCAGCCTTGAGCAGGACAAAGGGCTCAAAAGTGTGAGAATGAGGGTTATTAATAAACCATGTAGAACGTACCCCATCACAGAATCCGTTTGTATGTAGCGATACTGAATATTATCCTTAGTTATATGCAGTAGTTAGTTATTGTTGTGATTATTATTAGGATGCAGGACGAATGAATTCTCTTTTCTGAAGTTCTCCCACCTCCCCTTAGCTTCCCTGCTAAGTTTCATCAATGCCAGTTATACTATCAGAGGGAGGGCAGGAAGTGGCCAGGCATCACTCCGCCAGGCCCGGATCCAGCTCCACTGACAATCCCCGTCCTGAGTTACGTTTCCTATTGAGCTTTGATTCTCCTCTGTGTTTGACTTTTGTTTCTGTGAACAGCTTTAGGAGCCAGGTTTTGGCTATCAGAAATATAATTATAAGCC